TTATATAACTGTGTGGAATAGGAATGTTTTATATTTGTTTTTATTTTTTTTGGCTATAATTTATTTTTTTTTCCGGTTTTTGCTGACGATTTATATGTAGCATTTTTCTGTAATTTCTATTATATTATATATATATTATATTATATTATATTATGAAAAAAAATCCCCAAAAATATAAATTATACATCAAATGAAAGCTTATTCTAAAAGCTTTCTTTGTTTTTAGAAACATTTTTCTGTATAATTTACAGAAAGTTCCCAAAAATCCACCAGAATGACGTATACTCAAAAAAAGCAAAAAACCTTGTTACACTGCAAAAGAATCCGGTATTCAAGGGTTTGCACTACAAAAGAATACGGTATCCAGAGGGTTAAAATGTGATGATACTGTATACTTATCACACAATTAACCTATTATTTGACTGTAAAATCTACATCCTATTGCACAAAAGACTAATGGATGTGTGTAGTATACAAATTATCTTACTTTTTTTTCTCGCTGTTTGAAACCGGGCCGGACATTGCTTGCAGTAAATACGGGACAGTACGAAAGTGGGAGTGAGACAAGCAATGGCCTATGCTATTGTCACACGGTCGGTAAATTGGTAATCATGACCAGGTCAACTTCTACACAGGGTGGGTATAATATTTAATTGATGGGGAAATTAAAGTAAGAGAATATTTGAGTGTTGAAAAATAAAGACGCATCATTGTGATTTTCAAATTTGAAATGTGTAATTTCTTTTGCTTATTAATCATTCACTATCACCGCAGACAAAATGCTGCGCACAATTTGGAATTGCTACACAAAACAAAAAGTGAGTAGAACTTTTTGCTAAAAAACAGAAAATGCTGGAAATCAAACGTCGGCGGTATGTGTTTTCCTGATTTTACTGTCAAATTTTAAAATAAAAAATTTAAAGCTGAGAAAAGTGGGAGAATATGTAGCTATATTCTGTACAGTAATTTTTGATTGAGATTATGTTTGCCAGATTAATTTCTTATAATCATCAAATATACATCTGAATAAATCTCATGCAAGTTAATTTAATAACAACTTTCTGTAAAATGAAATTTATGTTGCCATTGCAAAAACACAATTCTACTCACACAGAAGTCCAAACTGCTTCATCAATTCCAAGAAGATCTCAAAGCAAGTTTCATCTTTGCTAATCTCATCTCTCCATAGATTTTGGCAAACTTATTCCACAGCTTGATCACTGAAGGCCACTGAAATTAATGATAATTGAGATGTATATTATTTTAATCACCTTTTCTTTGTCATTAGGTTGCACAATTGTGATGATTTTTTCAAGATGTCAATCAGCTTCCATGGGTTTGTTATCACTCTATGCTTTAGAAGTATGTGGTTTTCAAAGAACAGAATGATACCAAGATTGTGAAAGTAATTGAGGAGGTTGTGGATGCAGTTTTTTTTTTGTTTTTTTTGGAAATTTTGCATTCATGTGTAACTTTACAGACCTAATACAATAAATTACACTACAGAAATTTCAGTCAATAATAATAATCGTGTAAATCATGTCTCCACTACTGAAGCGTTCATTTGTGCTTAGACCTCATGCTCCATGGTATTTGTGCGACCACCATAAAATGAAGGTTGAACGCCGACGTTTGGAACGCAAGTGGTTGAGATCTGGTCTTTTGGTAGATAAACAACTGTATCGAGGCCAATGTACCAAATACAACGAACATCTTTGCAAAGCTAAAGCCCATTTCTACAAAAATAAAATTTTGGGGTGTGATCAACGCAAGCTATTTCGTGTTGTTGACCAATTAACATCAGTTAGCACCTCAAACTCTCTTCCTTCATATGATGATCCCAAAGTACTTGCTAACA